CCCCGCCATACTGCAGCAGAGTTCTTACCCAGAGGGAATCAACTCCTTTCTCGGGCCCAGGAAGAAAGGGACTGGCAACCTCTCCATCTCTTCCTGGAGTCCTTTGTGTGCATCCCTTCACGTGCTTCTGCACTGGGGTGGAGACTGCCGCTGATGCCTTTGCTATTTCCAGACCTGCTTCGATTGCCACCAACAGGCAGACTTGGTGGCTTTGGGGTCAGGGCAGCGGGGGGGGGGGGGGCACCTGGAGCTGCCTGCCACAGCAGCCCTCCCCCCCCTCTTCTGCTTCCCCTGGAAAGCTCCAGCCAAGGGGCCCGCCCCATCAAGGCTTCCCGGCTTCCCTGGCCAACAGACACCAAGGTGAGTTGGCTGAGGCAAGAATATCTCCAGCAGGAGGAGCATGCAATGGGATCCATCCCACTGACGGGGACACCTTCTCCCGGGCAAGGGACGGCCTCTTGTGATGAAAAGTCCGCCCACCCCCATCCTGGGTGAAAGCACCACCGTTACTGGGATAGATCCACAAGAGCCAAACCACAGGACAGCAAGGGGCACTAGGGAAACATTCCAAAATGCATCATTTTCATATTCCCAGGCTGAAAAACGGAGCATGTTCTCAGGTTGTCTGTCCCTTGGAGAAGCCCAGTGCCGGTTTGCTCAGAGGCTTAGTCGGGGCAGCCGGCCGGCCGGGGTGGTTCTCCCCCAGGGCCGTTGCCATGACTCATCAGCCCAGTTGTCTGCAGCCTGACAGCAATATGCCTTTGGGGGGGGAGAGAAAATCACAGACTGTAGTAGCAGCAGGCAGGTCTCTTTGTATGACAGCTTCTGATCAGGAGCAGTCTATCTGAAAAGGGAGAATGTGGAATTTCAGCAGCCGTGCCCTCTAAGGGGAGACACAACCAGTCTTCTCTCTCGTGTGGGTGTGGGTGTCAACAGAGACAGGAGCTGACCCTGGGCACGGAGAAAGGGAGGGCGTCAGCAACACCAACAACGGTGTCCAGCGTTCCCTCTAAGCTGAGTCAGTGTGAACTAACTCACAGGTTTTTAACCTCTAGTTCACACATCTTTGCCTTAGCTCAGGAAGGGATGGCTCCAGAGCAAACTGATGTACGCAGCAGCCAAGTCGTTCGCTCACAACTCGAATGCCAGGAGCTCACAAAGCAGAATTTTTGCTCACAAGACTCCACAGCTTAGAGGGAGCATTGGTGTCGACTCCCTCCTGCCCTCCTCCCTTCCTGCCAAGTGACTCCCTCAGGCCAGTCGTGGGCCAGGTGGCTGTGCCAGCTATGCTGCCATGATGTTTATGGGCAGGAGTGCTGCGTCTGCTTGACCTGTGTACCAACTGCTGCTCCTGCATTCCTTCGCTCCTTCTTATCTCTGACCTTGTGGGCTGCCTGTGTAGTGTCTGCTCCTTTGCTTCCCGGGGCTTTGATGGGCCCCGAATATCAGAGCTCCCTTCTCTCCCCGCCCCCATCCCCCCCCCATTCCGTCTCTCTCCTCACCTCCGCTTTTGAGGATGCTTGAGGGAGCGGAGGAGGAGGAGGAGGAGGAGGAGGACTCCCCATCCCTCTCTTTCGGGGGGGGGGCGGTGCAGACGGACCTGAAAGGAGCAGGACTGAGTCCAGCTTCTCTGCAGGCAGTGGTGGCCCCCCCTCCCCTGGGAAGCAGGAGGCAGCCCGGAGGGCCCTGCGGGGGTGGGGGTGGGGCTGCTCCGGGCTCTTTTGCTCCCCTGGGAGGCCAGAAGGGGGGGGGGGATCTCCTGCCGCCTGCCCAGCCAGCAGCAGAGACGGGGCCCAGCAGCCGCCCTCCCTCCCTCGTGCCAGCCACAGGGCTTGACTGGGGGCTGGCCTGGATGACTCCGGACACCCCCCTCCCTCCCAACGCCCCTTTCCTAGGGGAGTGCCCTCGGGTCCCTCTCCCAAAGCCGCCATTTCCTCCAGGGGAACTGGGCTGTGTCGACTGGAGATCACTTGTAACAGCGGGAGATCTCCAGCTACGGCCTGGAGGCTGGCAACGCGACCCTCAGACTGGGGGGGCAGTTGCCTGACCAGTCGGTCTGGAGGCGGGACTCTAGATTCACCCCGCGGGGCGGGGGTCCACTTTCGCGCCCATCCTCGCCTCGGTTGTGTGGCCACCAGGCCTGGCGGTGCTTCGGCAGGGAGGGAGGGAGGGAGGGAGGGCGGCCCATGCCACACCCCGCCCCCCGCGCTCCTGCACCTCCAGGCCCGGGAGGGAGGGAGGGCGCCCTCGAGGCAGGTCCGTGCCCCTGGGAGGGAGGGAGGGAGGCCAGCCCCGTCCGGATCCCGTCCTTCAGAGAAGGCGCGCCTCCCTCCCTCCCTCCTCTCCTCTCCTCTCCTCTCCCCTCCCCGCTTATTCACTGCGCTCTCCGCACTCCATTTAATAGACTCCCAAAGAGTCGCGGCTTTTGCTCTCGGGTGGCTGGCCCCGTCCTGGGCAGTAGAGGGAGAGGCCGGGGAGCGAACAGGATCCCTCCCGGGGCGGATGGCCGGCTGCTCCTCCGCCACGGCTCGCTCGACGGCGTCACTGCCTGCCATGCCGCCGCCCAGCTCCCGGTCCGCGAAGAAGGGCTCTCAGGGGCGCTCCGGAGCAGCGTGTTTGCCAAGGCCTCCTGCGGAGGGAGGGAGCCAGCGAGGGCCAGCCGCCGCCACTGCTTCGTCTTCGCACCGAGCTGAAGCTCATCGATGCCGATGGAATGGCCGGAACGCCCTCTGAAGCATGCCGTGATTACCATCAAGGAGTACCCTCACCAGCACTTTGAGGGCTGATTGATTGTTGGCCTGTTTGTCCTGCTTCCTGTGGTTGTCCTTGCAAGTTGTTTACATTTTGTACCTGGTTTTTAGGGCCCGGGGCACCAATGACTGTAAGCCGCCCTGAGCCTGCTTGCGGGGAGGGCGGGGCATCCATCAAAATAATACATAAGTGTCACCTCACCGACTTCATCTTCCCCTGGTAAGGGTCAATGGGCAATTACAGGACAAAGCCAGGCGGGAGACAGACCTCCATCACAGTGTTATTCCACCCTTCCTCCAAGACCCTCAAGGCAGGCACGGATCTCCTCCCCTCCACCTTATCCCCGCAACAGCCAACTGACCCACAGTCACCCACTGCCAAGGGGCTACCACTCTCTGGACCAAGGCTCCCTCTCAGCCGTGGAGTCTTGTGAGCAAAAATTCTACCTTGTGAGCTGCTGGCATGAAAGCTGTGAGCCAGCGATTGGGCCACTGCGTAAATGAGTTTGCTCTGGAGCCATCCTCCCTGAGCAAAGACAAAAATGTGTGAGCCAGAGGCTAAAAAAAACTGAGCTAGCTTACACTCAGCTTAGAGGGAACACTGCCCCTGGACCCTGATCTCCCCATCAAGACAAAGACTCTAGCCACAGCCTGTCATGGGAAGATCGACACCTCTTCCCCATGGCCCACAGGTGTAAAGGCTGTTTTCACACCTTCTGCACTGAACACCACGGTGCGTACGGGCCAATTTAACTGGCAGCCAGACTGGAAGGTGGACACCCTCCGCCCTCCGTCCAGCCCCCTTGCAGCCACTGTGAGAACAGCCACGGATCCACTGAAGACGCTTGCCAGGACGACTCCCTGCCTCCCATTTCACAGTTAGACACGTCTGCACATTTTGTCCTCCTTGTGTGCCAAACACCGCTTCGGTCTTGTATTCACCGCCCACCACATTTTTGGGTTCCCTGTCAGTGGATTCCACTGCAGCCATTCTGGGTTGCAGGATTCTCGAGGAGGAGCAGGAGGAAGCGGGAGAGGAACAAGAGAGGAACGCTCAGGGAAGGGCGGCTCGGGTTGCCCTCAGAAGGAAGCCATGGCATCTCCCCCCCCCCCCTTTGCCCGTGGCTCTTAGCCCAGGGACTCTTGGACTAGGGGCTCTGTGAGACGCCCAAGAAGAGGCAGAAAGTGAAAACCCTAGGCTCCTTGTTTTCCCCATAAAGTAATTTGACTTTGACAAGAAAAAAACACATAAATACAAAGGGATTTAAAAGGGGGATTACATTTACTTATTTTAAAAGAATTATGAAGCCAGAATGCCAGCAGGGGGTTGGGGGCTATCCAGTGTTTTGCACAGAGTGTCACATGTATGACTATCTGCCCACTGGGCAGAAGTCTTGGGTGTGTCCTCGGTGCAAGGAGCTCCTGGTTCTCAGGGAACGTGTGTGCTCCCTTGAGGCCAAGGTGGCTGACCTGGAGAAGCAGAGACAGTCAGCTAGGCACACAGAAAAGACTCTCGGGGACTTGTTAGCTACGTCCCACTCTGGATCTGGCAGCCCCGCTGCTGTCAGGGAGCATGAGGGTCTAGGGGAAACAGGGCACCGTGCTGAGGATAAGGGGAATGTGCCCTCAGAAGGGACCTCTTCCCCAGCTGGTGAGCGGTTATCCTTTTGCACCAAGGAACCATCCCTGGGCAGGGTGGGAGGGGGGCTCTTGGTAGTGGGTGATTCGATCCTTAGGCAGGTAGACAGCTGGGTGGCGAACCCGCGTACTGACCGTATGGTGACTTGCCTGCCTGGTGCAAAGGTAGCGGACATTACGCGTGTTTTAGATAGGCTGGTAGATAGTGCTGGGGAGGAGCCAGTGGTCGTGGTGCATGTCGGCACCAACGATGTGGGGAAATGCAGTCGTGAGGTCCTGGAGGAGAAATTTAGGCTGCTGGGCAGGAAACTCAAGGCCAGGACCTCCAAGGTAGCCTTCTCAGAAGTGCTACCTGTTCCACGCGCAGGGCCGGAGAGACAGGCACAGATCAGGAGTCTCAATGCGTGGATGAGACGATGGTGTAGAGGGGAAGGGTTCAGGTTTGTTAGGCACTGGGATTCTTTTTGGAACAAGAGGGAGCTGTACAGGCGAGACGGTCTCCACTTGTCCCGAGAAGGAACCAGGCTGCTGGCGCTTAAAATCAAAAAGGTGGCAGAGCAGTTTTTAAACTGAATATTGGGGGAAAGCCGACAGGAGATGAAAAGTCTCTGGTTCGGGTTGGCTCATCTCAGAGAGATGAGGGGGTACCTGTTGCTTTTCTACAGGGAGGTGGATTGAAATTGTCCACTGAGACCATGGCTAGTGACATGGACTGCCTGACAAGGTCTCGAGATTGCAAGAGGAAGGTGGCAGGCTTAACCAGTATGGGAAATTACAGCTGTTTCTATACAAATGCTCGAAGTGTCCGAGGTAAAATCGGGGAGTTGGAGTGCTTGGTGTCAGAGGGAAAAATAGACATTGTGGGTATTTCAGAAACTTGGTGGGATGAGGAAAATCAGTGGGATACGGTGATTCCCGGTTATATATTATATCGGAAGGATAGGGGGGGAAGGGTTGGAGGTGGGGTGGCTCTGTATGTCAGAGAGGGTATAAAGTCCAGAAAGATCGAGAGGCTAAGAGAATTGGATTCGCTTCTTGAAGTTCTGTGGGTTGAAATAGGGGGGCCAAAAGGAAACTTAACACTGGGAGTTTGTTATCGCCCACCGGATCAAAAGATAGAGGAGGATTATAAAATGATGAATGAATTAAAGATAGCAGCTAGACAAAAACACTGTGTCGTAATAGGTGATTTTAACTACCCACACATTGATTGGGTCAATATGTGTTCTAGTCGAGAGAAAGAGATTGAGTTTCTAGACACTCTAAATGACTGTGCTATGGAGCAGATGGTCATGGAACCTACCAGGGGAGAGGCGATCCTTGATTTGGTCCTAAGTAACACTCAAGACCTGGTGAGAGATGTAAAAGTGATTGCACCGCTTGGGAACAGTGATCATAATGTTGTTGAGTTCAACATTTGTACAAATAGGGAATTGGCCAAAAAGACTCACACAACCACTTTTAACTTTAAAAGGGGTAATTTTTCTGATATGAGGGGACATGTGGGGAGGAAACTGAAGGGAAAAGTAGAAAGGGTCAAAACCATTGGGGAAGCTTGGAAACTGTTTAAAACTACAATTCTAGAAGCTCAAATAAAATATATTCCGCAGGTTAGGAAAGGCACAAACAGGTATAAGAAAAAGCCTACATGGTTAACAAACAAAGTAATGGAAGCTGTAAAAGGTAAAAAGGATTCCTTTAAGCGGTGGAAAGCTAGTCACAGTGAGGCTGATAAAACAGAACACAGGCTATGGCAAATAAAATGCAAGTCTGTGGTCAGGCATGCAAAAAGGGAATATGAGGAGCATATAGCAAAAAATGTAAAGACCAACAATAAAACTTTCTTCAAATACATTAGAAACAGGAAACCAGCCAGGGAGGCAGTGGGGCCCTTGGATGACCAAGGGGTAAAAGGAGTACTGAAGGATGATAGGGAAATGGCTGAGAAGCTAAATGCATTTTTTGCCTCCGTCTTCACTGTGGAAGATGAGAGGTGCTTGCCCACTCCAGAGCCGCTGAGTTCGGGAGGGGTGTTGAAAGACCTGAGTCAGATTGAGGTGACGAGAGAGGAGGTCCTAAAACTGATAAACAACTTAAAAACTGATAAATCACCAGGCCCAGATGGCATACATCCAAGAGTTCTGAAAGAACTCAATTGTGAACTTGTGGATCTCCTGACAAAAATATGTAATCTCTCCTTAAAATCAGCCTCCATTCCTGAGGACTGGAAGGTAGCTAATGTCACTCCCATCTTTAAAAAGGGTTCCAGAGGAGATCCGGGAAATTACAGGCCTGTCAGTCTGACGTCGATACCGGGTAAATTGGTGGAAACCATTATTAAGGAAAGAATTAGTAGGCACATAGATGAACAAAACCTATTGAGGCAGACTCAACATGGGTTCTGTAAGGGAAGATCTTGTCTCACTAACCTGTTAATGTTCTTTGAGGGGGTGAACAAACATGTGGACAAGGGGGATCCAATAGATATTGTTTACCTTGACTTCCAGAAAGCTTTTGATAAAGTTCCTCATCAAAGGCTCCTAAGCAAGCTCAAAAATCATGGGATAAAAGGACAAGTCCTTTTATGGATCAAAAACTGGCTAATTAATAGAAAACAGAGAGTGAGTATAAATGGGCAGTTCTCCCAGTGGAGGGGTGTAAGCAGTGGGGTACCACAGGGATCAGTACTTGGTCCACTGCTTTTTAACTTGTTCATTAATGATTTGGAGTTGGGAGTAAGCAGTGAAGTGGCTAAATTTGCGGATGATACGAAGTTGTTCAGGGTGGTGAAAACCAGTGAGGATTGTGAGGCACTCCAAAGGGATCTGTCAAAGTTGGGCGAGTGGGCGTCAACATGGCAAATGGGGTTCAATGTGGCCAAGTGCAAGGTGATGCACATTGGAGCCAAAAATCCTAACTATAAATACACGTTGATGGGGTCTGAACTGGCAGAGACAGATCAAGAGAGAGATCTTGGAGTTGTAGTAGATAACTCACTGAAAATGTCGAGACAGTGTGTGACTGCAATAAAGAAGGCCAATGCTATGCTGGGGATTATTAGGAAGGGTATTGTAAACAGATCAGCCAATATCATAATGCCGCTATATAAATCAATGGTGCGACCTCATCTGGAATACTGTGTGCAATTCTGGTCACCACACCTTAAA